AAACACTCACAACACTTCACCTTTACGCTGGGCTAAACTCAGGGTAGCCATAAACACTCTGAAGTAATACAAACCTAAATATTCCTGCTAGGCAAACGGAGCAGTGGAACCGAATTATAATGAGCTAGCAGCTGTCACAATATGACCACAGTAACCAAATCAAAATATCAACCGCTAACCCAGATGAGATTCAAAGGTCATCCTGTAAGCCAGCAGCTTTCTTCAGTTCTGCCTGAAACCTCAATCTAATCCAGCAGTAAAATGTTCCACTGAGCTAGGTTAGAAACCATTTACTCTATGGTGGTAAATTATTTAATGCTCTGAGAAAGTACCATGAGTAGGACTAGTACCAAATACCACAGTAAGGAAACTGAACCATTCAAAATGGGCCATGTGAAAGCATAGTCCCTGATGCTGAACTAAGCTGTAGCCAAGTGTACAAAAGTATCACTTTTCACACCCTTCAGTCACAAATGCCATGTATGTAATTTTATGGGGCAACTTGCTCACTTATCCTCAGTTTTCAATCGATGCTCTGGAATAATAAAAGGAAAGTGGAATACTTAGCTCCTTCCTTGGATCAAATAGTTTTAGCTAGAAAATATATTGTCTACCATTGTAAAAATATTTGGACAATTACCTGCAAAAGTTTAGTGCTTGACAAAGGGAAAAAAAAGTTTTCTTTTTTTAAGTGCATATTCTTTCCATATACTTCTCGCCAGGATTTTCAAACTATTCTATAGCATATAAATAACCCTCTTAAAAAACACAGGAGTTAGACTCATGGACCCTTTCTACCATTAGCATACTCTGAAAACTATCCAACTGACCACCTAGGAAGGTTTCATCACATTGTTTAAGAACTGCAAGGAACGAGTTTCCAATAGGTCCAGTGTACATTACAATCATTAATAATGATAGGCAATCATAAGGAAGAAATGATTTATTTTCTCCAGATATAAAACAATGCATGGAATTTCAACTAAGGCAAAATGTAACCTGGCATGTATCTACACAATGAAAGCAATGAGTGAGTTCTTAGTAAATGTCAGGTAAAAGTATATGAATTGGTCAATGCAGACAGTCAGTACTCACATCTCTCAGCCCTGCCAACATCGAAACAAACAGAAAGGCTATTCACACCTATTTTTTAAAAATGTAGGAGCTTGCTTTCTGTTTCTGTTAGTTAGGCTTTTCTTTAACAGATTTACAAATATCAACCACTAAAACCCTGTATGACAAGTATAATCACAGACAGGAACACAGAACAATCTTATAAACTAAGAAATGCCATTAATTCTTCTAGCACGATACATACATCGGGTGTGTGGGTGTACATGTGTGTCCATGCATGTATAACCACACATGGGTGTTTTGGTTATTTTACTTTAGGGATTCACAAACTATCAAATAGTGCTATTTTTCCACACACACAAGCTTATTTCTAAAAGAATAAATTAACACAAACATTTTATTACTTTTGAGATGGGATCTCACTCTGTTGCCCAGGTTGGGGTGCAATGGCATGATGTCAGCCCACTGCAACCTCTGCCCCCTGAGCTCAAGAGATCCTCCTTCCTTGGCCTCCCAAGTATTTGGGACCACAGATGCGTGCCACCACGCCTGGCTAAGTTTTTGTAATTTTGGTAGAGATGAGGTTTCATCATGTTGCCTAGGCTGAAACACTTTATTACTCTTATAACTTACATCCCACTTTGCATAAATTTGAAATAGAGACACAAATGAACTGAGTTTTGGAATTTCAGTGCCAAATAGAAGTATTATGTTTAAAAATCTGTAAAATGCAAAACCATTCATGTGAAATCAAGAAGTTCAGAGTTGTAATAATGGGTTTCGTTACCATAAAAGAGCTTATAGACAAATATACTAGCAATGCCTGTTATCATTTCTCTAAAATTGTATACTGCCATAAAGAACAAAATATATAATTAATAACAATCCACTCTCAAAGAGAAAGAGTAGTCCAGTACTTTTTTCTTTCTTTGCAATAAAATAAAGCCTTACTAAATGAACAGTTTACCAAAAAGAAAAAAGAAAAAAAAAAAATCAGGTCATCTGCAGTTAATAACTCTTTCCTGTAAAATTAGTGTCACTTATTTCTGTAGCAGACGCCTAATTCAGTCACAGGCTTGATTGATTTGACAATAGAGAATCTGCTCCAATAAAGTGGCTGATTTATTTCTGATGCTATAGCTTTTACCCTGACGCGACATCACGGTAGAATTAAGTCTTTGAAACAGAAAGAAATACTTTGCACTTTTAACGAAAACCAGTTAAAGATTCCGAAAGTGGAGACTGGAGTGTTGTCCAACACTTATACTGAAGTCTACTACCTTCTTTTGGTAGAAAGAAAATGTCCACAAAGGTCACAACGTGGGCTCTGGGTCTGGACACAAAGTGCAGTTTAGAACACAGCATATATGCTAGGAGTTCAAACTGTCCCCTACACCAATAGATCTTACTTTGTTTTTATTACCATTTGTAAATTAATTGTCCTTAATTTCTTGAAAGTGATCTATCTTTTCTTTGTAAAGCTGTAACATAACACCAAATATGGCTCATCTGAAAAGTGGTTTCATTTTAAACAAACAGCAGCTTGGGCAAAATCAATGAGAATCTTTGTTCCCCGAATCTAGCCTTCAGATACGCAAGCCAATCAAGAAGGCGTCTGGGATGTGAGAAATTACAGCGATGGGAAGAGTTTTTAATGCAGCATCAGAGTGAATTCTCTTTAAAAAAAATTGTTCTTCTCTAAATAAAACTGTAAGGTATTTCATACTTGCTTCAATGTCTTTTTCTCCCTTTTCCATTTTTTTTCGCATACCGCGCCATGCCCTCTCGCTCTGAGGGCGACTTCCCTGACCCCAGTCTGACACTGCGCCAGTTAATGTCAGATAAACCATTTAGCCCAAGCACAATTCTTTTCTGTGCAAAAATCTGCTTGAGGTGGAAAATGTAGCAGTTTGTAAACAATGAAGAGCCATGTTTCAAACCAGACAGCTTATCTAACAGAGAAGTCCTTTCATTGGGAACAGTGGGTGGGGGCCTCGTGGACATAGTAGCATTTCCTATCACAATGCAGGAGACTGTCTTGGTCTCCATATTTAAGAGTTTAATGGGAAGGAGGGCAGACGGGATAAAAGAGCAAGGCTGACATGGATTTGCAGCCTAAACAACAACCAAGTGAAAAGAATCCGCTCTCTCTGCTCTAGACTGTCAGGCCACTTATATTTTAAATACTATTTGGATTGAAAAACTAATTTGATTTGTAAAGCAGTTGCCCATGAGGAAACATGAAGAGAACAATCATTTAATCTGTTTGTACTGCTTGGTGTATTCTGGAATATTAATTTATCAAGTTGTTCTTTAGAGTTAAAACTTTTTTCACATAGAAAACATAAACTTCTCACTATGAGTATTTATTTATTCATTTTTCTCACTGTAGCTCATTAGAGGATCATTTTAGGATCCAAGGAAGTTAGTATATTATTTAAGTGCTACTTCTCAAGACTCTATTTTCAAATAAATCTTTTATTCTAAGCAGTTGTGTGAAGATGAATAGAAAAGCAAAGGTGCTGGAAATAAAATCATAACTATTGACACTGAAGAGTCAAAAGCTGCCTTTTAGAATCTAAGTTGATAAATGTATCTAGTCACCTGTATCTACATATCCTGAGAACAAGAAACAATGCACCTTCCTATCAACAACTGATAAAGGACTGGGATTCCTGTTTTAGTTACAATGTTAAAACATACATATGAAATTTACTACTTTGACGGCAAAAATAACACAAAAATAAGAACATCCTATGACCAAAACCAACCTTGTGGTTCTCAAAGTTGGTAAGACACTCAAAGGCATGAACATATGATGTCACCCATTAACTATAAGTTGCTACTATTTACCTGCTTTGACTATTTTGTGTTAAATATCTGAAATCCATTTAGATGGATTTGACAGTGATTTTTCAAAGAATGCGAGATTCAAGGACCTGAAGTAACCGGTATAGCTTCCAAAGCTTAAAATCATGACATTCTTTAAAAGCATTTGCAGTTATGGTCTCAGAAAAGTATAATTACCGTTGTGTGTTTTCCTTGGAGTGTTGTCCAACAGCTTGTACCAAGAAATGTAACTTCACTTATTGACAGATTCTCAAGAGAATCTGGCCAGGTTGAGAGATTTACTAATATTGTTAAAAACTCATGTTTACTAGAACAAAGATCATTTTTTCAATCAAAACTAAAGTAGCCAGCTATTGGACCTCTTAAGACAATAGGAATCATCTTTTCATTGCTCAAGTTACTGCTGTTAAACAAACGTCCCTACAGGGTAGCCAAAAGCAGAAAAACATGCTGACGATGCCAGGATGAATGGCATGCTGGAGATTCACAGACATCTCAAACTAACAGGTAACTTGCTTTAGTAAAGCAGGATGTGGTCTGCCTAGGCCATTAGCACTGAAGTTCACGCCTTGATAAATACACAACCCGATTTTACAATTCAACTTGAACGCACTACTCTGATTTAAGCACACTAAGCCCATTAACACCATTTATTTTCATAAACCCTTTAGCAGAAATCACAGTTAACACTGACTATATATCATTGCCAATCAACAAGCCCCGTGATATTTTTATTCTAAATATTCACCACTTCGACTTCATCTACCTTAACTCAGAAACTACTGATGCAACATTGAAACTGTGGTCCGTGCTTTAGGTCTAAGGAAAACAAAATTTCCACGTAGATTCAGTATCACTAAAAGCATTTCATTCCATATGGTTGTAAAACTTAATCTTTGATATACTATTACCAAACACAGACTGCCAATACTTCTCTGCAATTTAAGATTATTACAAGTGAACTGACTAAATATCCAAATTTCTAAAAGCAGAACCTCTGTCTAGGACATGGTTTTACCTTCTATAGTAAAACATAAGCATTTAAAAGGTGTAGGTTAATTTAAAATGAGTCTTACTTTGTATTCTGGAATTGACAAAAGGTGGAGAGAGATTGTCATGTGACCCAAGGTCCCTGCTGGTCATGTGGTCATAGGGAGTCCCATCTCCATAGTTCTGTAAATAAAATAACAGTGTAAGTTGTTATATTAATAAACAGCACATAAACATGGCCCCACTACCAACACTTCTCCCATCCTAAAAAAACTGGAGTCCACTGTTCCCTCGCTGGAACTTCACTAGAAGGAATCTGCACCTTCACAGGTAAGAAAGCTCTAGAGTCTACGAAGTCCAACTTTTCCTCATAATAGCTGAGAAATCTTAGAAATAATAATAATGGTATCAACGGCATGGGGTTGTTGACATGATTAAATAAAATAGTGTATGTAAAACATCAGACACCTATAAAGTATATTGCGTATGTTAAAAATTATTATTTTAATAAGGCCACATTAAAGCAAAATAGTGCCACAAGGGGAAATTAGGCATAGCATGCAATGAATTGCTTTTCAAAGACCAAGATAGAGCCATTCAAACAATAACTTTTGGTGTGAGGATACTGAAGTTTCAATGTTTTATTATAGGATACTGAAGTTTCAATGTTTTATTATAGTTACTATTGTGGTTGTAAGATAACTAGATTGTCACATAAGTAATTAACACATAAGAAAGTTAAGAATATTAGGATTTAACTATGATATGAACATCAAAACATTAGCATAAATTAGCATTTCTGGAGTTGGACAAAGTGTGTCACAAAAAAACAACCAGTTGTAAAGAAGACAAATTTTGACAGAAATATTTCATTATTACAATCAGTTTATTGTTTTAAGGGGAATTTAAAATTAAAACAATGTTTTTAAGCTGTCCAGTTACTTAATTTTAATGGGGAAATTTGATTACATGGTAGAAAAGAGTTAAAATCATCTATACTACATGGTTCAACGTTCAGTCTACTAAATTGCATAAAGTGACCAAAGGGGGGGGGGAAGTCATTCTGCTCAGCTGGTGGAACTGCCCATAAAGTCTAAGTCAAATTTACTCAGAAGTATCGGTTGCATGTGAGTCAAAGGGCAGAATCTGCCCACACACACAAAAAGAGGGCTGCTGCATGAACTAGGAAAAGACACATCCCCTCCACCTTAAGGAAAACAACCCCGTTCTCAGTCACCTTTCCTCATGTGTAACAACTAACTTGACTGATACTATAGTCTAATTCTGCCAACATGTCGATCTATAAAAAGAGGCTACATTGTAAATACCCATCATAGTACACTCATTCATTCTATACCAGGCATTGTATAATGCTAATTATCACTTATTAAGTGTCCTCATCCTAGATAGTGTACTAAAAGCTTAATATATATTATCTAATTTAATCCTCAGCACAGTGCTGGAAGGTAGACACTCTCCCCATGTTAAGATGAAAAAAGAGAGACCTTGAAAGTCTGCCTGGGTATAAATCTGCCACAAATGATTTGTCTCATGCAAACTTCTGGATTTAGAAAATATAAATTACACTAAATTGGTTTGAAATTATTCACCAATATATTCGTGAGAAAAATAGCAGGACAGCTAACAAAAACCAAAAGCTAGTTAGTTTTAATCCTAAATTAAGATGATTCTAAACAGACCTTGTTTTCTGAAACACAATTAAAAGTACCATGTGTACTGAATGGAGAAATCATAAGAAATTGTGAAAATCTGGATGAACTAAACAATTGAGGGGAGTTCTATGATCTCCACTTGCTGTCAAGGGGAATGGATTTATTTCTGCAAGTGCAGACTGTAACATGAGGAGGAGGAAAGATTTCCTCAACCCATCCATATAAAGCATTAGAATGTCAAGCGCGACAGCTGGTGTAAGGGCTCACAAAGTTACTGGTAAGCTTAGAGATCCTGCTGTACCCTGAACACTAGACTAAGGATCACAATGCCAAGGACAGGTGGAAATGTCTAACTCTGACTTGCTGGAATGTCCTCATTTTGACAGCTTGATTACCTTCCCTGCCTCTTATCCCAAAATGGAACCTTCCCCCAACCCAAATTTGTGTGAACATTTACAGTAAAATGTTACCCTCCCTGCAGAATGCTTCATCTATATATAGCTGGTTGGGAGAGGAAGAGATGTTGGTTTTACCATGTACACTAAGTGTACTTTTAATCTGGGGCATTATATGTACATCATAAAAGCTGACATGGATTTTAGAGGGCCTAGCAATGATTCAGTTAAAGAAATGTCATACAAAATCATGAATATTTAAATTGGAAGAAACATAGATGATCCTCTGGCTCTACTTCCTCATTTTGCAAAATAGGAAAATGAGGACGCAAGAGATGAAATGACATGCCCAAGATCATATACATACAAAAATACATAGTGCCTAACCACCCACCCAACTCTTATTCCGTGGTCTTCCTATTACACCCCAAGAAACAACCAATGCATGTAGGAAAACTGTGGAAAAGAATAGCAAAAACTTGAGAGCAAATAAATGAATGATCCAACTAGTGATCCAAGTCCCTACTGGTGGAATGATAACATGTCTACAAAGTGAAATCAACTCAGATTCAGTACGCAGATCATACTGGTAGGACAGAACCTCATACTGTATCTTTGGGATTATTCCGTAGTCTGTTCACACCAATACATTATAGGGATATTAGGAATTTTTTTAAAGTTTTTCCATCTACAACAAATAGCATTGTGTAATATGGATCAACAACTGACAAAAGAAAGACCAAATATGTAATGAAGGAATTTTCTTCTGGTTAGCAGAAGTGGAACAGGTGTCAAATTGAATAACAGCATTCAATAAGAGAATGGGGAAAAAAATTCCAAAGTCAAGCTGATCCTCATTAAACTTAGTATGCACATATATGTGTGTGTGTTTGTATGCACGTGCATGCCCATGCCTCTGTGTGTGTGTGTGTGTGTGTGTGTGCGTGCGAGAAAGAGAGAGAGAGAAACAGAGAGAGAAACACACCTTCTGTTTGTCAATTTACGTATGTGGGATGTCTGGTTGTGGGAGAAAAGATTAGATATACTTACCCTGGACGGGCTTGGATGTCCTCCATTCCCCCAGGACCCTGAGCTACTTCTGTCTTCTACATCTAGGGACAAGAGAAAAGTTCTTTAGGCTTTCTTGCAGTAATTTTTTCTTTTTGTATATGCACTTTTAAATTAATGTTTCAAATTAATCTCCTGTTGCCTTTAATTAAGAACCAGGCACAGGGCTACCATGATGATAGTGGCTTCTGACCCATCTACTTAAATTAACTCATTTAAATTCATAGCAGAAATGAACTGGACCCTCAGGAACCAGAGGTATGAACATAAAAATTACTTCTATCCTTCACAGTGTTTGACAGCCTCAGTTTTTATAGATGTGAAACTGTACTTAAAGTTTTATTACAATCTTTTGGATAAAATAAGTTTTAAAATACACTAACACAGCTTTAATCCAAAAAAAGTTAAATTAAGGTAAATATCCACACTAACACCTTTAGCATCCTCGCCATAATGCTCTTGGATCCTTTCTGTTCCACAGCCCAGGCTTATCACAGGAGACACCAGACATGCAACAGAAAATGAGACTGAGAAAAGTATTCAGTAGTCTATTTCCACCAGCACATTACAGGGATATTAGGACTTAAAATAAAAACTTTTTTTAGGTTAAGACAATACGGTCTGTCTTTCCATTTTTTTTTTTTTTTTTAACTAGACATACCACTTGGCCTGCAATCCTTAATCTGGGCTTTGATATGTGGAAATGAATGTGGTTATTCCATTATAAAGCAATGCTTTGTTTTGATAGATGACGGTGAAAAGACCTACATGAACCGTCGAAAAGTTGGAATTCTAAACTCGATACCAGCGAAGTTTCAATGCTGAGTAGATTACGAAATGTTCCATCCACGCTCCAAATGGCAAATACGCAGGATGGAAAGTCTAACAGCTAAGTTACCATATTAATTGCCTAAAACACAAAAGTGTTTTAAAGATCAGTCGCTCTATATTTAGAAATGGCTGTGAGATTTTTGATGAAAGGGCCTTCATAAAAGTATAAAAAGTTTCACTGTTACATTATTTTGATCACGGCTGATAACAGACGGCCATCACAAACACCCTCTGACAGAAGTGGAGGAGGAAGTGTGAAACTATGGTTCAGGAGATACAATCCCATTTATTGTGTTTCCTAACATTTCAGTGATACTGTTTATTCTTTTAATGCTCTACTGTCATTCCTTTTATTATTACTGCTATTTTATTATCAGCAGAAGTAATCATAGTATAATTAATTGATTTATTTTGGGATACAGTAGAGTACACGGTGTTTCAGAATATCTTAAGAGATAGAAGAGCGACAACAACTAAGTTATTACCACTAAATTAACTTCTCTCTCTCTTTTTTTTTAATGACAAATAGTATTTCACTTCCTTTTAGTTGGTGCTTCAGAAGATAACACAAACTGCAAACAGATGTCCCCTATGGACAGTTAAAATCAGTGCACTGTGAGCTTCAAGGCATGTCAAGAAAGCTCTCGGGACTGCATCAAGCCTAGAGAAAAGGTGTAAAACCTTCCCCAGATCTGCTGTTTAACAACTCAGCATGCTGGCCTATCCTGTATATGTTGAACTGAAGCACACAAAGAAGCTACTTACAACCCTCTGGGATTCGCACATAAATAAATTTTGTAGCCTACATGGTTCTCTTAATTCTTAAACAAAAACCAAATATTTTCAGCCAAAATAAAAAGTGTATAAATAACAAAATCTCTCAACCACTGCAAGCTTTCAAAAGTCTGGCGCATCTTGACTTTCTTTTCACCTATAACAGCCAGCTTGGATTCATTTGAGAGATTTCTCCTCTTGAATTTGGCCAAAAAGTAATGGAGGAACAGATTTGAATCCCTATAAAGTACCACAAGATTTCAAATTGTTTGGACTCATTTTATCTTTTCAATTTTAAAAGAGGATTTTAAACATGCAAAGTAGGCCGAGACTTGGAGGAAAGAGGAGAGGACACTACGGCCAGGCCAGTGGGCCTTCTGCATCCCAAATGACATTTGGCAAAACCACTCAGGAGACATTTTTGGTTGTCACAACTTGGGTGGTGCTAGTGGCATTGATCACACAGGGGCCAAGAGTTGCTACTAAGTGTCTCATAAATGCACAAAACAGCTCTCCACAGTAAGAAATACCCTGTGCAGGGCACAGCAGCTCACACCTGTGATACCAGCACGTTGGGAGGCTGAAGCAGAAGGATTGCTTGAGGCCAGGAGTTTGAGACCAGCCCGGGAAACTAGCAAGATTTTGTCTCTACAGAAATTTTTAAAATTAGCCAAGTGTGGTGGAACATGCCTGTAGTCCTAACTAATTGCAGGGGCTGACGCAGGAGGATCCCTTGAGCCCAGGAGTTCAAGGTTACAGTGAACTACGATTGTGCCACTGCACTCCAACCTATGCAACTGAGATCCCGTCTCTAAAAATATATATATATTTTTAGTGTTCTGACCCCAAATAAAAATTGTGTTGAGATTGAGAAGCCCTGTGCTACAGCAAAAGGAATGAAGTTGGAGAAAAGATGTACTAAAATTTGTTTATAATTTAGTAAGAACTCTTACTAAATATACAGCGTTTCTTATGCACTTTAACCCAGACTTGAGCTGGAATGTATCAAGAGACCTTCGTATGCATCTTCTGTCCACAGAAAAAAGGAAAAGTAATGGTCAACCAAGCAGCCTGCCAATTAGCAGGCAGATAAAACACATCAAAACTTGAGTATTCCCAACTGGGCAATTTCAAAAGCGAGCAATCCACTAATTAAAAATGCTGGAAGTCTAGTTTTTTCAAAGCAGGTTGAATACTGGCTGGGTTCCTTCACAAATAGATTCCTGACCAATCGGATCTGACTGCTCTTTTCCCAGCCTTTCCCATTTCCATCTTTCCCACTTCCTGACCTCACGCTGCTGCACCTTTCTTTCTCTGATTGCTCTCTGTTGAACAGGCTTCCCCTTCCCTTGGTCTCCTGCTGGATCTCAAGGATGAGGGCAAATCACTAGCTGTCCCAAACCTAACAAATAGAATAATCATATGAATTCTGATTATAGTTCATCTTTGAAAAAAAATCTATAGGACTGGTGCTCATTTATCCATATGCACAGAAGACACAAAGCTATAGCATGCGCAATGGTAATTCATAATGAATGTAAACATGTTGCTTTGAAGTCATTTTCTTCCATCTTCCCTCTCCTTGAACTTTGTCAGGCCTGCCCCTTAGTTAGCATTTCCTCAATAACTATTCCAGTGCACCACCAAGTACATTTCAAAGCCCATCCGCCACCTGAATCACCTGTATGCCCATTTTTAAATTGGCTTCTTAGGGTCCATCTCACATCTACTCAGTCTGGAACTCCGGCAGTGGGGCTGAGGAAACTGTTTTAACAGGTCCCCAGGTAACTTTTATGCACACAGTAGTTTGAAAGCCACAGGACTACTCTACTGTAACACAAGACAAATGCATGCCCCACACCATCAACAGCAGCCTCTCTCACTCCCTATCTTCAAATTCCTGTCTGGGTTGCTGGCTTCAGCAGCATTCAGTATACACCTCCATCACATAAGCATCCCAGAAGCTCTTGTCCAGACTCATTTTCATATAAACCTTGCACGTGGCCTACACCTGGCCATTCCTTACCCCTGCTAGTGTACCAGGACACTGCACGTTCTTCTATACCACCATGGTTTTGTAACTGCTACTTTGCCTAAACTATTCCTCACCTTTCAAAGAAGTGAGGTGAACGTATGACTTGAATGTATATCAGACACTGCGCTAAACTCTCAAATGCCTTAATAGTATTCCGGTTTTGTATATCAGAAAACTGAGGCTCAGATGGGTTAGAAAATTTGCCCAAGGGATCAGGAAATAGCAGAGCTTAGACACAAAAGGAGGCTGAAGCTCTGCTCACTGCTGTAAAGGCTCCCCAGTAAGAATTTCGCATCTCTCTCTAACCAGCTGAATGTTCCCTCCTGTCACTTCTCCCCACGCAGAGTGAATATATTTATTTGGGAGTTTATACCCACTCTTGTGTCCACAAAAGATTACAGAAAAACATACAACCCAAAAGATATGAAATCAATATTTGAAGGAATCAAGCGCCTGGAAAATAAAAGTAGGAGAACAATAAGGCCAGAGGTATGATGAGTTTATCAAAATGCACACAGTGAAGGACTGGCTATTTGCGAGAGGTGGGTCAAAATTTTAGAAGCTATTAAGTAGACAAAGCAGAGAGGGAAACAAGATTGACAATAACCATCAGATAAATACACACAAAGTGTTTAGGAGAAACATACCTAATCCTGGTATTAAGCCAGACAGAAAATATCTGTGAGCTCCCAACACAGAGGACAGAATGTCCTATAGCAGCCCATAGTATCAACAGTAGGCAAAATAAAACTTGTATGGCTGGCTTTATATGATAGTTCAGCAAGTACGTAGAATTTATTATCCAAATAACCATGTGAATATATATACAGCTATAGAGCTACATATTTATATCATACCCAACTGTGACATACATTTATTATAGGAAAGAAGCATGCTTGACACAAATAACATCTTGTGTGGTTCTGTACAATGGTGGGCTCATTAGTTCTTTATTGAAATGAAAACAGCAGAAAGTGAAAAGTAAGACAATATTGTGGTAGGAGAAGCGTTTACCTCTGGAGGTGAGACTAAACAATATACAGGAAAAAGATGTGTGAAATCCATTAAGGCAACAGAGAGACAAATGAAAAACTACCTGGGATGAAGCTGCTGAATCTATTTAGTTCTCGCCCCTCCCTTGTTCTGTTGCCACCCTTTTTCCAAGATGGGAGAAGACAGAGAAAGATAATACTCCGGGCAAAAGGAAAGGAAGAAAGCAAGTAGACGATAGAAATTCCTGTTCCAAAAGACTGAAATGGGCTCAGTTTTCAAGATTTTTCTAATTTCTTATTTTACCCTAAACTAAGATAGATTTAGTAACTCTTTCATGGGATTGCTGGCTGCTTTAGGAGGCAATCTGAAAATCCACAAATTTTCATCTTGTATGATTCATTCTGCATGAGC